AAAAAAAAAAAAAGACCAAACAATGTCTACATTTTCACTGAGTATTCACCCACCCATTATTTTTAATTACAACTGAATGGAGAGATAGACAGATGGAATCTACAAGTACATATCATGAGTAATAATACAAAGTAAGTATAGGATATAGTCTCTCTTTTAAGGAGCCCCGAGATGGAAGGATAGGCTATAGCCCCATCTACCATCTGGCTAATAATCTACAAAAATATATAAGAAAGGATGTGAGTGTATAGTTTAGACCACACATACGAATATTGGGGAATTTCAGGTGAGAGAAAAGATGCTGTGTGTATTATTTAAGGTGAGCTGCCCACTCTGGTGTTTTTCATTAACTGAGCCATGTATCCTTTCTAGAAACAAAATTTTGTCTTATATATTTTGGAAGTAAATACATCTTTTCCTCAATTAAAAAAAATAGGCAAACCCAAGTATATTGGGTTGTCAGAAAAGTCATGATGCATTTTTGCAACGAAAAACAGAGAAAAAATATGTCATGACTTTTCTGATAACCCAATAGTTTAGGACACATGTGTATTGAAGCTACAATGAAAGTGAGGGGATGATTAATATATAATTCAGTAGAGCAGTGGTTAGCTTTGGGAGGATCAGTAAGAAAGGCCACACAGGGCTTTTCCATCCCTTAAGCTGAGTGGTGAGAGTAATAGGTATTCCTTTTATAGTTTTCTTTACACATGCATGTATACGCTTTTGAATATATATTTTACAATAAAAACTTTTAATTCTCTTTTGAACCCTGCCACAATGTATATTCATAAATTCCTGTCCCAATAAATGATGTTATGTCCTGGGAGGCTCTACTAAGTACAGAAGAGGTGCAAGCTTATTGGGTTGCACCTTGGACTCCATGGACGCTCATATGCGAATCTCAAGGAAATCAATTCAACATTTATCCTTTGAGAGGGACTTTGCATACGACTGTGTGTGTGTGTGTGTGTGTGTGTATAACATATAAGATTAACTTGGATGGTCACTGAAACTCCAGGAGAAATGCTTTACCACATCACCCAGGTTTGAGCTTCTAAACCTTGGATAAGAATCTCAAAAATTAATTAATATAAAACTGAAAAAAATAAGTAGCTATCTAAGAGATATTAACAGCAACCCCTGCAAGGGATTGCCATAACTCCTGATTACTGTTCTTGGACTCTGTGTCCTGCGGTGTTATAAGCATGGCAGCATTTAGCCATTCCACTTGTATTTACTGAGTATCTACATAATACCAGGCAATGTGTTCTGTGCAGAGGATTCAGGAAAATATAGGAATACCTTGGAAATGTCGCGGGTTTGGTTCCAGACCACTACAAAAAAACAAGTATTGCAATTAAGCTAGCTGTAATCTTTTTGCTGGTTGAGGTTCTTGCCTTCAGTTTGTAAAAAAAACAACAACAAAAAAAACCCCACAACATTTGTAAACTACAATAAAGTGAAGTGCAATAAAACGAGACATGCCTGTAGAGTCACCTTTCTTCCTGCTGCTCTGTCCAGCAGAATAGACAGACAAGTAAATGGGACATTACAATACAATGTAGAGATACAGACACAATGCTTTGGAAGCACCCAAAAGTTCTGTTAACTCTGCCTGAGGGGATTACGAAGGGATTCAAAAGAGTGTTAGAGGATGATTAGGAGTCCTTAGATAAATAAGAGTTGAGAACAACTCACACAAAGATCCGCAGAAGTGAGAAGCACACGGGGACTATGGCCGGCAGTGTGGTTGGGCTAAAGCTCAACACCTGTGAGAATGGGTAGGGGGAGGGGCGGGTAGGATCACAAAGCCAGAGGCCAGATGATCAGGTGCCAGGTCAAACTGAGGAGTTTAGACTTTATCCTACCAATAAGGGAGGAGCAGTTGACTTGAAGCAGAGGAGTGGCAGGATTAGAGTTGCATTTCAGAAGGATCTTTGACACAGGTGTGGAGGATGGGTTAGAGAAAGTGAGTGGAGGCTCAGGGTGGATTAGGAAATTTAAAATAATCTAGGTAAAGGATGCTGAGGACTTGATTAGGGGCAGCAGCAGGGCAAGGATGTGTTCTCTATTTCTAGTTAGCGCTCCTGCACATCCTTCCAGAATTCCAGTGGGAGTGCTTTCAGAGTTTGGGTGAGTGAAGGCACTGCAAAGGTCCTTGAGGACCAGGCAGGACGACTCACCTAAAGAAACCAATAAACAAGCAGGAACAAGTGGCTCGCCTGTTCATTCATTCATTCATTCTTAACTCAGCTAGAAGCTTATAGAAACCCTTTTCCATTAGGAAGGTAAACTATAAAGGTGAATATTCAGAGGCCTGGGGATTCAAGGGGAGAGGAAACTAAAGAGGTGAAAGGGGTGCTATGTGATTGCACTTTGAAGGTAGCGACAGAATGGTCTGCCCAAAGTTGAGAGACCCAAATTCAGCCCACAAATATTCTTTGCCCGCCTAACCTATGCCAATCTCTGTTCTAAGTGCTGGGGATGCATCAGTTAACAAGACAGACAAGGTCCCTGATCTCATAGAGTTTATATCCTAGGGGTAGAGTGACAAATGAATAGCTTTCCAAATGCACAGGATGTATAGAGAACAATTAGCCTAGCCAGAGAGAGTTTGAATAGGGACTAGGGAAATTAGGCTGTGTTGTTGCAGAATTAAAGCTACTTGAAGACCTTCTCGGTAACGGGCAATGAGAGCCCTTTAGAGGTTCCTTGAGGGTTTGTTTCTTTGTTCGGGGGTTAGGAAAGCAGGGAAGTGACTACTGCTTTTTTTACATTTGAGGAACCTGAGGCTCATGGAGGCAATGTCACCTGCCCAAGGCCACACAAGTATAAGATTAGGCAGGCACGTCTGCCAAGGTCCGAGTTCGAAGTCCGTGCCCCCCTTCTGCTCTTTGCCTGTAGTGCAGAGGAGACATGGCTTAGTGCCCCGAGATCCTAGGAGAGAAGGACACCCAGCTCAGAGCCAGCTCCGCGGAAAAGTCGGAGAGGGCGGGAACCCGGGGTGCGGGGGGGAGGGGGTGGACCTAGTCGCCGGACAGTCGTAAGCAACTTCGGGAGGACCCGCCCAGGCTGGCAGGCAGGGCGGCGAGCTCGGAGATCACCCGGCAGCTGTGCGTTCACCCGCGCGGAACGCTGGGCTGAGGCGGAGGTCGGTGTCCCCCGCCTGCCAGTGGTTCGCTCCGAACACCCCTCCCCGCGCGGCGAGTGCCGCGGCCCGCCCCACTTCCGGTTGTTGCCGGGCCCTATATCCGGTGTCCGCCCGCCCTCGGCTCCGCCGCCGTCTCCGCAGCCGCCGCGATGCTGTCCCGGTCGCGCTGCGTGTCCCGGGCATTCAGCCGCTCGCTCTCCGCCTTTCAGAAGGTAGGGCTCGGCCGCGCCCTGGTCGGGGCGGGTGAGAAACCCGCCGGTGGGCAGACGGGCAACCTGGGGGCAGGGGCGCGGCGCGCCGGCCAGGCCGGGCACCAAGGGCACCGGGACGCGGAGGCCGCGGGCTGGGTGGCCCAGGCCGCTGTTACCCTGGGGGCAGTCTTGCGGAGCCCAGCGGCCCCTCGGCTTCCCGAGGCAGCCGGCGCCCTGTTCCCTGCTGTACCCCACCCTCCACGCCGGGGCTGAGGAGCCGCCCACAGCCGCGCCCGCCCCGACGCGAGACTCAGAGTTTGGGAGGAGGCGCCGCCGAGTCCCCCGACGGGATACGAGGGCCTGACCCCTCGCTTCTGTTAAAGTCAGTTGAGATGTTTGGCAGGCCCAGTGTGCTGAGACGGAGAGCCCTGGCTGTTTCGTTTACCTATTGGAGTCTTGCGACTCACCTGTCACCAGCACCTGGACAGCTTTGAGTCTGTACTTAAGAGAAAAGGCTGTTTCTTCCCTCCTTGCATCTTAGGTGACGTCGATAATGTCTTCTTTCTCAACAGGGGAACTGCCCTCTAGGGAGACGTTCCCTGCCTGGTAAGTTCTGCCCTTGCCGTTACCCAAAATGCTCTCCTCCTGGGCAGAGCACTATGTAAGGAAATTCGGGTGCCTGTGTTTCCCTATAACGTTCTGATAGATAGTAGTGAAACAAAAAAGCTGTTTAGTAATAACAGCTATCATTTATTCATTTGGCACGTAGTTACTAAGTTTCTACTGTGTGCGAGGGCGCTGTATCTAGGGATACAGCAATAGACAGTTCTTACCTTCCCGGACCTTACAGACTAGTGGGAAAGACAAAGTGTAAATAGCTCAGCAAATGAACCATTACGATTTTTGTTAAATGCTGAGAAGGAAACAAATGAAGGTGGACAGAAGAGTTCTCTTTAGTAGGCGACATTAAAGCAGTGACCCGGAAGATGTGACAGAAGCCAGCTCATTGACGAGCAGGAGGAGGAAAGGGAGTAGCATGTACAAAGTTGCTGAGGAGGGAAAGACCTTGTAAGTGTTTCCAAACTAGAAAAAAAGGTGATTTGGCCAAAGCATTTTGGTTGAGAGTGGCATGAGATAGAAGATGGTGGCGAGACCACTGGAAGGAATTTAGATTTTATTCCAATAATTTTTTGTGTGTGCTTGGAATAAATATTTGTTGAATGAATCGATCTTATTGTGGGCTCTCTGTGTGCCAGGCAGTGTTCTGAGTGCTTTCTGCGCGTTTTTCAGTTAATCATCAAGAAACAGTATAAGAAGTATTCTTTCTATTTTACAAATGCAGAAGAACTGAAGGCTAAGAGAGGTTAAGTGCCTTGACCAAGGTCACTCAGCCAACTGTTGGTCCCGCCAGGTCTACCTGACTCCACAGCCCGAGCTCATAACCCAGTAAATGAGTTATCATTTACTCATGTACTCAACAGATCATTTATTGAGTTCTTACTACATGTCAGGCACTGTGCTTGGCGACAGAAGTACAGACCCTCCAGGATTTTATGTGCTAGCTGGAGAGACAGCAGATATACATTTATGCACACATGAGGACATAAGTACATTGTAATTACTATGAAAGAGTGTGATGAGAGTGTGGGATGATATAGCCCAGCTTGGGAGGGTGAAGAGTAAGGTGGGAATGTCAGTTAAGGCTTCCCCAGGGAAGTGACATTTAAGCCAACTCTTGAAAAGTACATAGGAGTTGGCCAAGAGAATGATATCCCAGGCAAAGTGAATTGCTTATACAAAGGTTTTCAGGAAGGAAGGTACTTGACTGGTCATAGAAATGGAAAGGAAGCCTGCCTGGCTGGAAAGATAGGGAAATATGGACAATACAGGAATGTGTGAAGTTTTCGGACTTTATCCTAAGAGTCATGAGAACATAGGCACCCGGCACATAGGTGGTGGTGTACCTTAGTTAACAGTGGACTCTCAGTAGTAAATAAATTTTTAACTGAAAAATGTCAGTAAACATTTTCTCCGTTTTATAGATTGTCAGGACAATGGAAAGAGCCTTGTACTTGGGGTTTGCATGGAGGCTCAGGGCTTCACCTTGGACTAGTAACTTAACCTCCAGAAGCCCTGCTTATACGTGAAGTGGGAATAATGGCAGATGGTCGTTCCACTTCAGGGAGTGGTGAGACATGAAAATCAAAATGAGGTCATTAAGCTTTTTATAAATCCATAAGCACTGTACAAATGAAACTTGCTGTAGGATGAACTCTGAATGGACTCAGAGTTCTAAAAATCAGCATGGGCTGCTGGCTGTTCTAGCTTGGGGGTCGGCAAACTGGGCGCGAGCCACATGCGACTCTTTGGGTACGTTCCGTCTCAAAAGTTTGCCGACCCCTGGAGGAGCCAGTCCTGTCCCTCACAACAATTTAAAAGTTATTCGAGAGCCATAAATACATTTTTACATAATCACCATTATGTGAATAATGTCCTTTAAAAATTTTACAAATGAAACTATGATGGTTTTATTTTCATTTTCAATTTTACTTCAGAGCCACATGCTCGCGAGCCACAGTTTGCTGACCCCTGATGGCTCTTCTGTCTCAAAAGTTTGCCGACCCCTGATCTAGCTCAAAGACATGCTATACTAGGGATTTGTACTGCAGAGTTATTGGCTGCTGGACATAGTGATGACTTACTTGACTCTGAAACCCTGGAGATGTTTGTGGGGAGGCGGGTACAAGAGAGGGCTGTCTCCCATTTGGTGTCTCCTGAGCCCATGGTTCATAGATATGAAAAATATAAGATATATGAAAGAATATATTCAGGTGAGACAGCTGTAGTAATTAGTTATCAATTGGGGAAGTGCAGTTATCTGTGATAAGTAAGGATGGTAGGGTGGAGCATGACCAAGCTGTTGAGTGTGACCAGTTTGGAAGACCTCATTAAACTAAAAGGAAGGATAACGATTTGCTCAGTTCTAGGACAGGCTGGAGACTCTGAGGCTAAAGTAGCCCAGTCTTTGCTACTAGGGTTCAGGCAATAAGACTTCGAGCTTAATGCATTTTAAGTAACCAGGGAAACAAAAACTGAGACCAAATATCCCCACTGCTTCTCAGATTATGCTATGTGTAGTCACAGGATAAGTCATCGTCTATCTTTCTCAAGCTTCAGTTGTATTTAAAGACTTGGGAAGTAGAGACATTTTATTATGAAAACATAGAGGGATAATGAAAGTTTATAAATTTCAAGCTAAATAAGATTATAAAACTACTTCAGGCTATGCCCTTAGAATTCTTTCCTTTCCTCCTCAAACACATACCCACTCTCAAACCCACATAGCTGTTGCTCTCTGCCATTACAGTTACTTTGGTGGAAAAGTTTGAGAAGTAGGAATCTGTGTGATAAAGATTATGTTGTTGCTTATAGTTGACCTGCTCTGTCTCAAGTTAGGAGGTAAACAGACATCTTTTCTATTCCCAGCAGGTATCTGTATAAGATAAGAGTTGTTAAGAGTTGTTTTGTTTTTTGCAGGGGTCTCCTTATGTCAGGGACAAGGTTACCCTGACAGCAGGAAGATTGTGTAAGTATCACTGGGGAGTACAGATATGTGGCCATGGGGTATTTAAGATACCAGCTCTAAATTTGTACATTTGCTTGCTTTTCTGGCTTCCAAGTCTAGAAATCAAGGTGGTTATGTTGAGTCTCTAGACCTAACCCTGATGTTAATTTATGACGTGTGATGTACCTTGAGCTGCAGCCCCATGTCCAGTGCTGAACCAGGAATGTGCCTGTCCTCAGGTGTTTAGATTATCCAGAAAGTGAAGTTAGAACCCTCCTTTTATGAGACTAGATATAGAAGCGTACTCCTAAATATTCTGGTTGGGTACAAGTGCATCTGAAGGGCTGGAGGTTACCTTTATTGTGGAGATTGAGAGCATCCTCTTGGTGTAGCATAGATATTCATTTTAGAAACCGTAAAAGCAAAAGACTATAGTCAGTCGAGTCCTGGGACTTTGACTAGTTTGGATGGAATGCTATTATTGCATAATGCAAAGTTTGGAGAAAGGCCACCCATGTGTGTTTCATATTAACTTCTGCTTATGAATGTTGCTTAATGGTACTTTGCTTTCCAAGTATTTTCAAGGTGGTGCTAAGAGGATGCTCTCTAGTTATCTATTAAACACCTATCAAGCTTCTTTCTCTACAGGGAAAATCTTCAAAATGAAGGGTCAGCAGATTAGCTCCTTTTTTACCGTGCATCACAATGGGATTTTTTTTTTTTTAAAGAAAGTGATGCACTTAGTTCTAGAAGTATGAATTCCTGTGTTATTTTTGGAGGCCAACTTGGCATTCATAAGTCTTTGAACTCTGTGAACCTTTTGATCTAGCAATTCCATTTCTAGGAATTCATATTGAAGAAGTCCTGGTAAACCCAGATTTCTCGAAATGGCCAAACAACAGGGCTTGATTAAGCTATGCCATGTTAACATGTTCACACTATAAGTGAGAAAAAACAGGTTATAAAATGGTTCCATTTTCTGCTACCTGGTGTAATCCCATTATAAGTGTTCTTTTTGCTATTTCCAAATATTCCATGGTGAACATCTAATACTTTTATAATTGAAAAAATTAGAGATTTAAAATATGGTATTCATCTGCAATTTCAATGAAAATTGGAGCAATCATAAATCTCTATGCAATAAATAGAACAAATAACTACTTGAAAGTAAATTATTTTTTAAAAACCCTAAACTTTGAGGGGTGAGATTACACATTAGGTTAGGCTATCACCCTGATCTAATAAACTGTTTTTGCATTGTGTGTTGTCTTTTTTCGTGAATAAGGTACGCGCTCGATTTAAAAAATCTTTTACTGTAGAACTATTTTTGGTTTTATGTTTATCTTTAATAGGTTATACATTTACATGGTTCAAAAAGTGGCCATGAGAAGGTTTTATCCTTGTCCTCCAGTGCCACCAAGTTCCTTTTCCCAGAGACAGCCAGGGCACCAGGTTCTTGGATGTCCTCTCAGAGCACTCTGTGCATTTGCACATTACCTGCTGGTTCTTTCCCTTGAGGATGTACTTATGTACATGGCTGTAAACTTTACACAGAAAACTTTGTGTTCTGTATTTTTTTTATAACATACATTTTTTTCCTTGATTCTACATGGACCTTATAGTTATTTTGGAATTATAGAAGTAAAAATATCAAAAGACAATTTAAGTCTGTTTTACTTTCCTATTGTAAAGGTGCTTGATGTAGAATATTCAAAGTCCTGAAGTGTGGAAAGGGAAAGTCCCCCTCAGTTCAAATCACTCTCCCAAAATGTGTCTATTTGTAACAGATAACCAAAGAAACCATATATATCCACACCTCCATTCTCCAGAGGTAACCATTGTTAATGGTTTCATACATAGGTGATAACATTCCAGTTTACATTATTTGAAGTTAGTGCCGTATCAGAAAGTACCTTGATCTTTTGAGGTTCCTCTTGAATGAGTCCATAATGGACTACTGTGCTGCCTCCTAGCAAGAGAACAGACTAGGAGATGCCATGAGTTTTCTGATGGACTTTTTTTGGGGGCACGTACCCTTTGTTTTACTGCCTAGTTAACGGTCTCATCTTGTTGCCTTATCTGATCTGAATCTGTAATCCTACAGACAGAAATTTCACTGTGTGTGGCACAATGGCGTGTACCCTAATGGCATGCCATTTATCTGGATTTAATTAAAAACCTAATCAGGAGCTAAGTCCTTTTCGTGAGAGCGCAAAGGGCCAAGATGCTTATCTTTTTTTTTTAAAGAAAGGGAAGTCTGTTTTGTGAGAGCTGGCATTTCACTGCAGAATCGGGTCCTGGACCCACAAGGAGCTCACTACTTAGGGCACCCAAGTCATCCAGGCTCTGCTCTAGACCTGTTGCCAAGTCAGAATCTCAGGGTGACGTCTGGACATGTGTGCTGTGACAGAGTTCCCCTGGGTGACACTGATGGCCACCCCTGGTTCAGAGTCACTGATTTAAAGGGAAGCTGATTTATGGTGCCTTACGTACACTAACGTGAGTGATTCACCTGCTAAAGGAGTTTGCTTTTATGTTTTCTTTTGTAGCATTAACAACAGTAGTGTCTTCAACGTTCGCTTCTTCAGAACTACGGCTGTGTGCAGTAAGTACCTACCTTCAGCTCCCTGCCTTCTTGGGAATGGAGTTTCAGTGGGAAGAGCAACAATTGACTGAGTTTAATTAAAGGAAAACTATGGACTACGTGTGATTTTCTTATTTGCTCTTTTCCTAGAGGATGATGTGGTTACAGTCAAAACCCCAGCATTTGCAGAATCTGTCACAGAGGGGGATGTCAGGTGGGAGAAAGGTAAGATTTAGTGCTCTTTCACTTAAATTTTTTTTTTTTAAGATTTTTTATTGGAGAATTGGAGGAGGGGAACAGCGTTGGGGAATCGGGGAAGGCGAACAGACAAGCTGCTGTCCTTTTGTTCTTCAGTCTAGTTATGGAGGACATCGCTTCACTGGCCCATGTTGGTATTATCATTGCGCTCTTCCCGGGTGAGGCAGTCGCTTGCCGGCCATTGGACGGCTGCTCACAGTGGCTCACCACAGCTCACGCTAGCTGCTCGCCACTCACGGTAGCTTATGGCAGCCCAATGCAGCAGGGGCTGAAGCCTACACCGTCACAGGTGACTCACGGCAGCCCATCTCCAGGTTGAACTGTTGTTCACCATCTTAGGTGTAGAGGGTGCAGCATCACTGGCCTTAATGTGGGATCTGAACCGAGGCCTTGCTGCTCAGAGCTGTCGTCCCAAGCCAACTCTTAACCAATGTGCCACTCGGCTGGCCCTCTTTCACTTAAATTTAAATACTTTCTAAAAGCCCCGCCCACTGCCACTACCTCCATGATAATCAGTGGAACCTATGGCTCCACCCTTTTCTTTACATGCAGTGTACTTTTTCCTGGCCCTGTAGAAACGGGGACTTGTAACACCTGCCAAAGGGATTTTTGTGGCTACTGGAGGCCTCCCTAATAGGTAATCTTTGACTGTCTTTTTAGCTGTTGGAGATACAGTTGCAGAAGATGAAGTAGTTTGTGAGATTGAAACTGACAAGGTAGGCTTGACCTATATTAGTGCCAATTATTCATGGTCTCCCCTTGGTTTCTTAACCTAATGAAAGAAACAGGGACTTAACTGTTGTTTAGAGATAATTTTTAACTGGCTCTAACTTCAGTTATAAAAATGTTGGAATAGCTCATTAGAAAGAAAAAAGCTTTAAATGTTTAATTTTAGATTGTTCTGTTGGGTTGTCGGAAAAGTCATGATGCATTTTTGCAATGAAAAACAGAAAAAAATACGTCATGACTTTTCCAGCAACCCAATAGGTGTATGTATATATACTTTAGTAGTAGTTTTTTTTTGTGTGTGAGTGTGTGTATGTGTGTGTGCACGCGCGCGTGTGAGCTCTTTCCAGTTTTTCATGAATCACCTAGAAACACATTAACTGAATATTGCTTTAATGTTTCTGAGAAAGGACAGAAATGATGACTATTCACATTAGCATTGACTTGTCATTACTCTTACTCTGTCTTGTATGTCTATGTATGCAGCTCTTGTGACTCATATTTGAGATTCTAAACAATTAATTTTATAATGCTGAGTAAAAATTTGGACTCTCCGTCTGTCTTCCTTTTGCAGACATCCGTGCAGGTTCCATCACCAGCACATGGCGTGATCGAAGCTCTTTTGGTCCCCGATGGGGGGAAGGTAGAAGGAGGCACTCCTCTTTTCACACTCAGGAAAACTGGCGGTAAAGAAGTTCTCCTGGTTGTCGAGGTCTTCGGTATTCCCCCTTGGAATTGGGGCTGAGCATAATGTACTAATTCCTTGATACCTCAAAGACAGTTTGGCATTCCAGCTGCCCTTAGTTGAAGGAATGTGGGGTGATAGTTATATAGTGTGAACTTTACATGTCAAGTTCTAGAAAAGGGTATTAAAATAAACCTCATAATACTCTGTTCTTTCCATGTATGTTGCTTATGCTGGACCTTTTCTTAAAGATATAGAAATGAAGATTCTAAAGAGTGATTTTTTTTTTTTTCCTCCCCAACCCTAGCACTAGTATCACATGGGGCCTTTCAAAGTAATAAAAATGCTTAGATTCCATGGCCCTGGGCTTCTGATATAGTAAATCTGGGGTTACTAGATACAGGTTATCTATGATAGTTTTTCTTCCTTTTTAATGCTCTACAAGTGATTTTGACACAGCCAGGGCCGAGAGCCACTGTTCTAAAGTGAGAAGTGAGAAGCAGCAATTTTTCATGGTGTCTGTTATGGAGAATTCAGTGTGCTTTTTTCACATCTGTTCTCTCATAACATTTTGGGGCGGGGTGGGGGGTTGGTATTTCTCTTGGGAAGAAATAAGGAAATAAATTTGTCCTGGGCCTTATAGTCAATATTAGAGATTAGAAAAGAAAATAACTTTTTTTGATTCTTAGTTAAATGTTATAACTACTAAAGTTGATTTCTTCCTCATTGTTAAAATATGTATTAGAGCAGTGGTAGATTGCATTATTGTGATTGGTCAGAGCAACACAGAAGCCCAGGATGGAAAGAATGTGCAGTAGAAGGCTAGGGAATAAGATTGATTCTTCAGTTGAAGAATTCCATCTTCTGATCATTTTATTTCTTTAAAAAAAGTTCTTCAAATTTAAATACAAAACCAGATATAATGTCCAGATGGGTAAAATCAAAACAAACATCTAATTTAAAGTTGTGAGTTTATTACTTGGCCACCTCATTGGTTTATGAGAGTTATCCTAGATGAAATGCTTTGAACTCTTAACTCTAAATGAACCCTTGATTATTTCAACTTTTATTTTTTAATAGGTAAGACTATTGTTCTACATGTGATGTTAAAATAGAAGATGAGAGTATTGGTATTACCATAACTAGAAATGTGTTATTTTTACGCATGTGCTTGAACATCTTAAATTGCCTGGGATTCTTTGCTTGGAAGTTTTCCATGAGCTTAGTAGGTGCTTTGAAAGTACTTGCTGAATTTGATGATCAGTAGATATTTGTGAAACAGGAAGTTATCTGATGTAAAACATCTGGGAGCCCTGGGAACTAAAGTAATAGTGCCTTATATCGCTATGTGAATCTCATGGTGCCTTGCATATATAGCAAATACCAGTAAGCATTTCTTAATTGATTGGAGACTGAGGTTTTGCTGTTAGATTCTGCTTAGTATCTGTAATTTGGTTGCTTTCCATTACAGACAGTGCCAATGGCGTCTGTTTTTCTTGTTTTCCAGCTGCTCCTGCTAAGGCCAAACCAGCCGAAGCCCCTGCTGCTGCAGCCCCAAAAGCAGAACCTACAGTATCGGCAGCTCCTCCTCCCCCTGCAGCATCTATACCCACTCAGATGCCACCAGTGCCCTCACCCTCACAACCTCCTGTTAGCAAACCGGGTAAGCCACCACCTCCCAGATTTCTTTATGTGGGAGAAGAATATCTCATCTAATGTCGTGTTCCCTCATAAGGCAAAGTCTGAGACTAATCATGGCTCTAAACAGGCTCTGTTGTCTGCCTTGTAGAAAGAACTCTAGACTTTGTATCAGAACACCTGGTTTTACATCCCAGCTTTCTGTTTATAGCTGTGTGACTTTTGCTAGTTACTTAACTACTGTGAGCAGATAGTTCATTTGTGAAGTGGGAATGGTGCTAATATACCTCAGAATATCTTGATGATTAAGTGACGGTACAGTATGACAGCGCTGGCACATACTCAGTAAATGTTTCTCTCATTTTCTAATGCAGCTGTATCCCCCTCTCTTCGTTTTCAGTGTCTGCAATAAAACCCACTGCTGCTCGTCCAGGAGCTGAGCCAGGAGTTGGCAAAGGTGTGCGTTCAGAACATCGGGTAAGTGTCTGAGGACCACTTCCAGGAAAGAGGCAGAGGGGCAGTGTTGAGTTAGTGAAGTGTGGGTATGATGATCCCTACCTTTGAATGGCTGGCTGCTTATTCTCTTGGCCTTGACAGGAAAACTGAGTTTGGGAAGTGACTTGTTCATAGCCATGAACTGTCAAATGATAGGACTAGAACCTGAGTGAACACTTGTCCAGTGGTTTTTCCCACTATGTTATGCCACCACTGAAATGTCTTGGGTGAGTAAAATATTTGCAGGGATGGTAGCTTAGTAACACACCCCCCCACCCCCCACCACGATAACACACACTTCAGAGAGGTTGGTTTAGTGAGCTCTATGCCTATACTTCCGGAATGCTTAGCTGAGGGCTACACAGTAGCAGTAGCTGTCAGGGGCAGACATAAAACCTCAAGGAAGTATGGTTAAGAGTGTGGGTTTCTCTATCTGAGAATACCTCCTAAAAATACTATAGCCTCAAAAGTTTATTGCTTGTGAGTTTCCATTCCACAAGTAGCTATTCTCATGCAAGTCTTTATCACCAGAAATTGCCCATTCAGTAATGATTCCTGGGCTGGCTAGCCCTACACCACACTCTTCTTTTTCATAAGTTGGTTTTACTTTTTAAATCAAACCATTCCCTGGGCCTCCATTCTTGGTCAAACTTTAGGCGTAGTTTTTGTCTATGTTTCGTTGTTCTTGCTCAAAAAAGCAAGGCCACGGGAAAGAGGGAGCCTGGGGCCCTCGTTGTACTTAGATATTAGTAGTCCTTGACTCCCCGCTTCTGACAATTGGGTGCTCCTTCAAAGTGCTGAGACCCAGGTTGTCAGTACTTGTCCCACTTTCTCCTTCAGGAGAAAATGAACAGGATGCGGCAGCGCATTGCTCAGCGTCTGAAGGAGGCCCAGAACACATGTGCGATGCTGACGACCTTCAATGAGATTGACATGAGGTGAGAACGCGGGCCTTATTTCCATGCCCTTACACTTACAATACTTGAACTTTCCCCAGTCCCCACTAGCGCTGATTCCAAAACAAAACTAACTTAACAGGGAAGAGGTACTGCTTTGTATTGCTTGTTGACTTAGAGTGACCCACTGGTTTCATTCTCTCATTGACTGCTAGTACTATGCCTGCCTTCTCTGAATTAAAAAGCTTAGCCTTTCAGATTTTTATACCTGAATCTTGTAATTTCTGATAAATGAGGCTGGTAATAGTCTTCAACTCTGATGACTAGTGTTGAGTTGCCAAGTAGAGACAGGGCAGCCATGCCAACAAGGCTTATGCTGCGAGGCCTAGCCCTTGGGATGGAGAACCACTTGATAGAATCCCGGAGCCAGGGTACCGCACCCTGCTCCTTTCACAGTCACTGCTCCTTATGCTCCTTAAGTAGCTCAGAGTTGGGTGAGTGAAAAGGCGTAGGCTTGTCATATCTTTCTCCTTTCTCAGCTTTGATAATGAAATGGAAAACAAGCTGTGTTTTTAAAGAAAACCTCAGAATATTAACCAAAGGGGCTAATTCAGTACAGCGGGTCCTCAAATGATGTTTCATTTCGTTATAACATTAATGAGATGTCATAGGTACATAACTATTGTTTATAACTCTTGTTAGCCCGTGGTAAAATTGGTTTCTTTATGTATCATTTTGCTTAAAGTCACAGAACCTATCAAATGACGTTAAGTGAGGACTTAACTGTGTACCCGTTTTCTGTAGCGAGCTAATTGTTGGCTCACCTATTTTCTTCAAGAATTTGATATTTACAAATACAAGCACTATGGGGAAGAGAATATAGTTAAATTGAACAAACATTTTTTGAGTGCTTACAGTGTATGAGGTACCATACTGTATTTGAGGGGAACACCAAGATGGGCAAAAAGAGCCCCCACCCTTCCAGAGCTTGCTGTCAGGTGTGGATAATCACAAAGTAAAATCTAAAAACAAGTATTAGGAGGGTACAAAGAGTGTGACTGGACAAGAGAATGAGATCATTTGTTTTTGAGGTGGGGGCAGAGCTAGGGAGGGTAGGATGAGGGAAGGTTTCCGGGAGGATAGAGATTTTTAATAGACCTTAGAGAACTAGCATTTTGACACAGACAGGAAAGTACAAGACATTTGAGAACTATTTGCCACGAGGACTATGTGTAGGAAGAAATGGTTAAGAAAGTTGGGTTCACTTTTCAGAATGTTTTGAATAAGAGGGATAAGAGTTAATTATTTAATTCAGGGGCTAAGTCATCAAGTCTTCAGGTCATTTCTGTGCTTCTTTTTGTCCTGAGTGTTTAATGTGCTAATCTGCTTCTCATTAGGGAAATTTGTGTTCCTTCAGAAGGGATCTAAAAAGTAGAGAGAAGGGAATGGTTTATTGACATTGTGCTGTGGCATTGTTCACATATGGCTCTGTGGCCTATTTCACTAGATGTTATCCATTCTGTTGTGAAGCTTCTTATAAAGATTGGATGTCATTCAAGCCAAAGATTTTTCTCCTGTCCGTGGGATGTGGGGAAGGACGTGACTAATGAAGCACGAAGACTGCAGCTTAGGTTTCAGTGCATTAGGGCTAAATTGTATACAAATTGAATTGGACTTTGAAATTCTACCCAATTTCTTAAGACACAGCATGTAAATATTTGTGGCCTTGAAAGATGCAGTTGGCCCAACAGCTTTGATTGGAAGATGGGAGAAATAGTTAGCTCTGCTTTCAGCAGCTAATTTAGGTGTTACTTAACGATGGCCTGGGGTCTTGCTGCAGTCAGTAATCTGGTTTCCATTGAGTGCCCTTTGGATCTTATGCTGATCAGTTAACCCATAAGGAGCCTTTCTGAGACCTTCTCCTCTCCCCTGTTGTCCCAGCCCCTGCCTCCAAGGGCAGAGCTCTGAAATAGAAACTACTTAATGACCAGACAATAGCATTTGGGCAGGTTTGAGAGCAGAGATGTTTATCACTTCTCTTTCCCTCTTCTGCAGCTCTTGTGTCTTGGGAACCAGTAATGTCTTTAGGGTGGTAATCCTAGCACTAAATAAGGTTAGACTCAGGAAAACAAACATTTAAACCCAATCAGTCCCCCTAGGAACACTTCCTTTTTCAAAAATGAAAGGTCTGAAGGGGGGAGTTAAAGTTATAGCATCTTATCTTTCATGTTAATGTTGAATTAGGCCATTATAGGGAGAATGGGAGAACTGAGCTTTTGGGTTTGAGATAAAGTTAAATTCAATTTCCATCATGGAACTGTATTCCGATAAATACTGAGGTTTCTGCAGCAAAACGATGGGAAAGCCACTTCCCACTAACTGTACGTATGCGGTGTGTATGTAGAAAAGTGAGTCCTGAAGGAGCAAAGGCTGTTCATGTTGCAGAGGCTTCTCAGAAGGCCCTGTTGCTCATGCTTTAAAAGCGTAGGTCCACACATGGTCACTTTTCGAAATACCAAGGAAACCACACCTGTGAGACTGATCTAAGGGCAAGAGCTGTGTCTTTGTTATCTTTGTATCTTGGTGGCCAGCACTGATCCTCACATGGTAGGTGCTAGCACCTGTTCGAAGGAACAGGTGAAAGGAACTGCTAACTCTGAGGAGATGAAGAATGAGTCTGCTAGCTTCCCCATGAACCTAACAGCACACTGAGTTATCCCTTCTGTATATTGTCATAACTGCTTTTGCTCACATGAAGCCTATACACCTGTGGAGTTTGGGGGGAGGGGAGGTTGTCTTCACCAATCAGGAGATAGGAGGCATGTCACAAGGAAGTCATCAGATTTGGTTGTTTTTTGGAAATAATTCTAATAAAAAGGATATTGCTTATTTTGTGGACTTTGTTTATGCTTAAAAAAAAATTCTTTTTCAGGATAGATAGCTCATGATTTTAGTGTAGCTAGAAATCCCTTTCTCATCCAGGGCAAGGATGTTGGTGTGTTGTGAGACCTCTTGTTCATATTTTCTGCCACTGAAACCTGTTACTTCTGGAATGTGAGTGAGCCCTGTCAGGGACTCAGCCCACCTTAGAGACAGATGGAACCTGATTCCTTTGTATCCAGATTTTGTAATGGAACAAGGTTATTGTGTTGACCTCTAGCAGACTATTTCAAAATTTGAACTTATGGTACAGAGTAAGGAGAAAAAAGCTTACCCAATTGTGTACACAGAGTTAGAAACTGGTATGAAAGTCAAATGAAGGCTTCATTTGTGATCAGTTTGTTTTGTAATGGGTTTTTGCAGTAACATCCAGGAGATGAGGGCCCGGCACAAAGATGCTTTCCTGAAGAAACATAACCTCAAACTGGGCTTCATGTCAGCATTTGTGAAGGCCTCTGCCTTTGCCTTGCAGGAGCAGCCTATTGTAAATGCAGGTGAGTTTGTGGTGGCCAGCACTGCAGAGGTTCTGGGAGGTATGTGTGTGCACTCACACCTGCTCCTCCACACACAGACACAAAGATGGGGGATGACAGACCAAGACTTTATTTCATAGCTGAGAAAACATGAGTGTCTTTCCCAGAGATTTCTTGATGCACCTTCCTGAAATGGTATTATAATTACTTGTCCCACTAGATGGACAGAATCGTTTCTCTTCCCAGTGCATAGCTTTGATTCTCAGCCAGCCCAGCTCCCCAGGCTTCTCATGTCAGGTTGGAAACTCTTGTTGTTTGGCACCCGCCTTCCAGAGAGGGCTCTGTTATCTTGGGGCCCGACTTCCACACCTGGCATAGGCTCCAGGGCAACCTTTGATTTCTGGATAATGGGCCTCATTGGGAGGCCTTGGGCTTGGCCCCTCTTTCATGGACTTAGTGCTCATTTTCCTTCCATTCTACTCACCTACGTCATTGAAATATTGACCTAACAAGCAGTTCTCTTTCCAATTGAGACACTTCTCTGTTCCCTGGAAGATTGGAGAGGGGACATTGACACTTTTGCAACCCTCAGCAGTGCCAGGGTCTGTAAAGATCTAGAAATAGAAGCCCTAGTCCCTTCCATCAAATGATATGCTCTAGGTAGGTAGAAGGGCTGTCTTTGTTTTGCCCATATGTGTATCTCTGTATTCCATTCTCCTCATGCTTCCTGATTGGCTTTCTCCATCCCTTCTGCCTGCTCATACACCTACGCATTTCTGAGTTCTCGTGGCCGCTTTCTCACTTTACATGCTTTTCCTGGGTCTCTTGTCTAACAATACAGCAAACACTTTCTGTGGAAAAGATTCCCAAGCCTGTGTTTTCTGATGAGCACTAGACCTAAATTTTCAGCTGCTGTTTGCTATCTCAAGCTATAATATTAAAGCCAGCCCACCCTGCTTCCTCCTGAGTGAGAAAGAGCCTTCCCACCCCCCTTGTCACCTTTGTTGAAAGTGGGCAGCAGAAGGGGCAGTGCTTCCCCACCCACTTTGCTAATTTGCCTTTTTTTGGAGAACTTATTTTAATTGTGAAATAAACATTTTTTTAATTAGTTTCAGCTGTACAACACAGTGCACTAGTTATACTTTTTACCCCTCAAAGTGACAACCCCCCTCCCCCAATCCACCGCCCCAATGCCCCCCCATATCATATCTATTACAATTCCTTTGACTCCATTCCCACACTATACTCCACATCCTGTGACCATGTGTGTGTGTGTGTGTGTGTGTATATATATATATATATATATATGTATATATATATATATGTATGTATATTCACTTATAGTTGACATACAATATTATACAACGTTAGCTTCAGGTGTACAGTGCAGTGATCAAGCCTCTACCCCATTTGGGGAACTTTTTTTTAAAGATTTTTATTGGGGAATTGGGATGGGAACAACGCTGGGGAATTGGGGGAAGGGGAACAGACAAGTTGCTGTCATTTTGTTCTTCAGTCTAGTTGTGGAG